TCCTCAAACAGTTAACTTTTTGCATGGTGAGGGGTGTTTGGCAGTTTTCAAGCTCTGGGAATCGCTATATCCACGAACATGCAGCATCAAGAAAAGAACTGCATTTCTTAGCGAGCAAGTGTTCTGATTAACAAAAATAATGCGCCTGAGATCCCATTTTAAACTCTTATCTTTCCCTCTCGAAGTGAGAGAAGAGCTCACTGGAGGAGGAGCTGTGTGCTCCACACCTCCCCGAGGACGCCCAGCAGACAGTTATGGTGGCATTTGGCTGGTACTTCACTGGCACAGCTGGCTTTTAATTGCAAATCCAATGTAATTTACTGACAATGCAAGGGCTGATACGGAGGAGGTAGTGAGCCAAGAGATACTTTAAAATTAATAAGAAATGATAGGTTTGCGCATCTGCTTTTTTCCAAAAGGCAGCAAATCCCCTGCAATAAGGGGGAAGCGATCCCTGATCCTTATCCCCTACAGATGAGGGCTATTGTCGGCTGGCCTTTTGAGCGAAGAGCAAGACAAACAGCCAGGGAGCTCTCAACACTTCCACTGGCTTACCCATCTCCCAGGCCCCACTCAGGAGACAGGAGGTGCGTGGGGGGAAGAGGAGGCAGCAGAGGCAAGAGGCGATAGTGCAGCCGGGCGATCGGACTCAAGGTCATGCAGCAAGGGGAGCATGTGGGGCTCGGGCACCAGCAGATGCCCAGTCCCAGTGCCTCCCCTGCGCCAGCCTGCCCAGCAGGCCCCAGGGCCATGGCAAATGTCATGCGAAGCAGCTCTGAAAGGCAGGTGAAAGGCAAGGGAGAAATGCAATACCAGAGCCACCAGGCTGTTTGTGCATCCCTTGTCATACCACAGCCAGAACTTCAATGCCTCTCCATTCAACCTGAGGGCAAGAAAGGAGCATCGAGCATCCCTGCCAGCCAGGCATCTCACCCAGAAGTGCTGTAGGTCAGCTTCTGAGTATGCTTTGCCTTCACAAAATCTGCACCCTCCCAGCAATGTCAGCTGACTACGGCAAGATCTGACCTTTCCACGGGGACACGTGCAGAGCTCAAGAGCTCAGGTTTTCCAGACACGACTGGTCATTTCAGGTGCCCGACCTGAAATATTTTGAAGATGCCCCATTTCGGAAAGTGCCAAACACTTACTCTTTGGAAAGAAGGTAGACCTTCAGGTCCCTTGCAGAAGAACAGGTGTGCAAAATCGTATCTGAGAACATCGATTCAAGGCTTGTCGCAAGGGATAGGTGAGTGCAAGGAAAGAAAGGATGGCTGCACACACAGAAACACTGCCACAGCATTGACACACCAAAAGAATAAATAAAAATTAGGAAGAGAATGACCAGAGAACCTCTTGCACAAACACTCCCCCATCTCCAAGAGCACGGGTTATGCCTGCACCAGGCCCAAAGTCACCACAGCAAGTTACATCAAGGTATCTTAGGTGTCGGTAATCTCTGCCAGTAGACCTTTAATCTAAAAGAGAAACCTGAGCTCTTGGAAGGAGTATTATCCTGGGTCTCTAATCGTTAGAGAGCAATTAAAAAAGACTTTGTATTTTCCATATCTTCCATAAGTGTAGGGCTGACAGTGCTGAACACCAAATGGATTATGTAGCTTGAGGGGATGTTTCTAGCCCTGCAGCTTTACAGCAGTTTTCCTTCACTTACAAGCTCTAAAGCAGTATTTGTCAATAACTGATAATGCTAATCCTAAATTTCCTTTAAAAATTACTTTGTGCCTTTGACTACAACTATTAGACAGAAAACATTTCCAAAGAGATCCCACTCCCTCCTCTCCCCATCCCTCACACAAATATGCAGTGCATGTTTCAGGTTTTTTTTGTTGTCATCGTTTGTTCAATTTCTAAGTGTTCCTGAAAAAGTGTCGGAGAAGAGCAGCAACGACGATAAAACACTAGGGAATGGCTCCTATGT